AAAATAAGCCCCAGTGAAGTGAAACCCCGCCCTCCACCCTTGTGCAGCAACCAGAAGAAGATGACAGGATGGTAAAATAAAATATCCTCTAAAAATAAGCCCTAATGTGTATTTTGGAGTAAAAATTAATATAAGACTCTGTCTTATTTTCGGGGAAACCCGGTAGAGCCCACCCCCCACGCTCATGCACCCAAAGGCCACTGCTAAACTGGGGGAGGGGGGGCGCTTTGGGAAGGAGGGGGTTCAAGGGGCCGGGTCTTGGAGACGGGGCACCTTTTAACCATTAACTGCTTTGTTTTCCTGCCGCCATCATCCCAGCCCATTTGCTAATCATAACTTTGCCATTCCAGCCGCAGCTTCCAACATGGTGTTGTTTGACTTTTGAATCTTTGTTCGCCCTTAACTGCTTGAGAACTTTGTGTTTCCGTTTTTGTTTGTCCGTTACCTGCCGATCTCTGTCCCTGGATGGGGAAAGCGAGCTGCACTGTGCTTACAACAGAACGGTGGTCTTTGACTAATCATCTTTTTCCAGCAAATGAGCAGAGGGTCCCGGTTCCAGCACAGCCCCCTTGGGAACTGAACGTTTGCATAAATTTTAACCAGGCTTACGCTGTCCGTACCCCCAGGAAACTGCCCCTTCCGAGGGGGGTGGCATGAAATTTCAAAAAAAAATGATTGTACCCTCCCCTCTCTCCTGCCACCTCATCCCTTGCCCCCACGCGCTCAAACACTCACCCTACAGCGTGAGACCCTATAGCTTTGCTCTTGCTCCTAGCTCCTCTTGGGCAGTTTTGACGCTGTAACTTCACCCCAGCTCCCGGCATGAAAGCAAAAGCTGGATGCCCTTGAACTGATTACTAATAGGAAAGCTGTCTGTTGGAGTGGAGGATCAGAGGTGTCCTCAGCGCTGCGCTGTCTTATAAATCTTGATCAAAGTGCTTATTGTAACTGTACAGGGTTGTCGGGTTTTTCCCCCTCCCGTCAGTAATTTCAAATGTGCCAGTCTGTAAGTATTGTGTATTTTTCCCATGTGGGTTATGTACATGTATTTTATTTATCTCGCCTTCTCCCTTGCTTTGGAAAGTTAAAGGTACCTTATCCTCTGTTTGGGTGCAAAAGGGAAAGGGGGGGAAAACCCTCTTCTTTTCAAGTGGGAAGTTTGGCCATCTCTGGATTCAGTGGACTGCATGGCAAAGGTGGAGAAACACCTCCGTGGACTTCTGTGGAAGTCTTAGGATCGTCTCCGAGCATTCATGACTGCTTTTCAGTCCGTCGCATAAAGGTGTGCTTTCGTTCATTGGAACATTGCCTGTACCTGAACCAAAGAGAATTCCCCCAAATCTTCCAAACAGTTATCGCGGAATTTCCCTCCGCCCTTTTGGTGAAATGTCCTTAGAAGAACCGTCTGGCTGCCGCGGCGCTGTGCCACGACCCACGTTCCTGGCCTGTAGACCACCCGTTAGAAGGCTTGCCTCTTCTGCATGCCAAAGGTCAGGGTGAGGGCCGATCCCCAGCTACAAAGCTGGCCAGAAGCGGTCATTCCAGGGTTCAGGCTAGCAGGCGGGGTTCATGTATTTTAGGGCAGCGTACCCAAATATTTGAACTCTGCACGTCAGTGGGGGTCCTCCCTTTGTACAAATCAGGGCTGTAGGTCTAAGCCTTGGGGAGCTGGAAGAGAAGAGTCTCCTGTCGAGTGGAGGTCTGTGACGTGAAAGATGGAGCCAGCTTTCGGGACCGGATGACACTGGCAGTGGGCTACTTAGGAGAGTCCAGGGCCCAGTTTTCTGCCAAAAAGAAAGGAAAACCGAAAGAAACCAGCCAGCCTTTGGAGAGGGCAGGAGTGTCGAGCAACGGGTAGTGTTGGTGTCCGATAGTACCTGCAAACCCCCCCCCCCATTAACTATTATAGCCAACGCGAGGCCTTGTAAGAACGGCTGCAAAAGGGCTGTGGTGTGTGGCTTGCTGCCTTCCTGGCCACCGGAAGCCGGTGGAATGCAAATAGTTTCACAGACCTCTTTGCCGAGGGACGTCTCCCGCACCTCTGCAGAGGCGGAGTGCCCCTTCCCGTTGTTGTCTTTTCTGAACCAACTCTGCATGGCTTGCAAGAGGCAGGACTTACTC